CTTTCCACTACATTCCTCATGAAAGCATGAATATTTCATTAGCTGTGCACATTCATCTGTACTTGAGTATTTTCGTGCTGAGAGCAGAAACTTGACGTTTCTTGTGCAGCAGCGAGCCTGTTCATTGCTGTGGATTGACATGTGTTGTAGAGGAATCAAACTGCACGGTCAGAAGCTCCCAACTTGTCCCTGCGGGCAGTGTGGAGGCTGTTTATGACCATTCTGCTCAGGATGTGGCCCCACAGGGGCGTTCACAATGAGTTGTGCCTCATATATTCATTGTATGCTCTCCTCAAGGTTTGATGTTGCCTACCAGTCAGCATTCCTGAAGGTGATTTAATTGGCATGACCATGGTATTAGCCTTATCCCAGATGGGAAGCTAAGTAATGATTTATTATTTTTTTTTAATTGACAACCATGAAATCAAAAATAACCCTTCCTCTTCTCAGAACAACATAAAAACCTTTCAAGTCCAGTGAGGGAATTAGATGAATTACACAACTTTATGCCAGTCTCTTCTCATCCCAATGTTTTAGGCTGCACACTACAGCATGGTGATTTCCAAACTGGAGTAATAGGTGGTGAGCTTTTGATTATGTATATAGGGAGGAGATAAAAGTATAAGTAAACATAACGAAACATATATAGGTACAACTATATATATCTAAAGTTAGTATAACAAAATAATTTACATTAATTTCTTTTTGGTGTGCCTCATTTTTTTAGCCATTTATCATGGAAAAAAGCCCCAAAATTGCCTTTTCCAGCCTGAAGGCACAACTTGTCATGAAATAAGTCTAGAAAAGAAAATTAAGACTGCATCAAATCACAAAACCCATGTTCCTAATTGTTAAACAACCTAAGAGAGAGTTTTACCTGAGCAAGAAAACAAGGTTTGGTCCATTTTAGCTGTGTGGTTTTGTTACCAGTGTGTCAAAATGAGGATTATTTCCACCCATCTCTGAAGGCTGCTGTTGGTGTGAGACCTTTGAGCAGCTTGGAGACCTTAGCCCAGCGCTAACCCTGACACCCAAAGGGCAGTGGGAGACAGTGGGACCCACTCTGAAACTGCACAGCCCCCTTGAAATCACTGGGATTTAACAGCTACAGCTGAGGAGGAAGTTGGTCTCACTATATGTAAATAAACTGACAGACTGATTTTAAAAAGTGTTATCTACCTTGAACTTTTTCTGAACGTAAGGTCTTTTTAAGGTCCTTCCATCTCAGATCACAGCCGCTGCTGCGGTGCTGCAGAGCCTGGATGTCTTTTTGTGCTGTGTTATGTTTTCTCTGGAGACTGTCTTCTTCTGCTTTATTGCCCTGGTTGCTGAAAGGACAGAGCCTGCCTGATAGTTTGGAGCAAAGCTGCTCATCAGAATGGTGTTTGGTGTCAAAGTGACAAGCTGGAACACAGACTCCACGTCACTCTTGTCGATTTTGCCTTCTGGATTTGAGGAGTTTGAGGGGGAGACAACTGATCTATTTGTGGCAGCGGAGCGTATGCCTGCGGAATGACATTCTTGCTGGAGAGACACTGATCAGAAGAAAGAGCCCGCTGCCCTCCTGAACCTTGAGTGTAAGCAAGACATTGCGTGTGAAATGGTGACATTTCTGTGGGTTTCGGGCAAGCCAGATTCAGTGTGATGAAACTCCCTGGCTGACAGAGCCACACAGGCATGGCAACAGGCAAAGCAGCTTCCAACCCATCCCACATTTCTTCTTTGTTGGTGTTTGTTTGGACTTACCTGCTATTAAGGACACTGTGATGGAAATCAGGTTGGGATCAGTCCTGAAGTCCATGCTAGTGGGTGGCACAGATTCCCCTACCCAGGGGGTCCATCAGGGAGTGGGTTCACCCAGCTGTTCAAGGACTTCCAAGCAAGGCCAAGGCTTGACGCTGTAATTCAGATACCTTGTGGTACAATTTACTCATAAATACTGAAAACTGCTTTTGTTTCTAGTCTTTATGTGTGGGTGTTTGCATGTATCTTTTTGTGGTGGGTTGGAAAACCAGTAAGAAACAAGACCAGAGAAGAAGATGAAAGTGTATTTCCATGTGAAGGGGCTGTGAGGCAGCTCCGTCTCCACCATCGCTTGTGGCCTGGAAGGCACTGTGTGGGCAGGAGTATGGTGGTCTGTACAGGGTCTCTGTGGGATCATACTCAGATGTGAGTGTGGAAGGGCTGGTGTGTTGACCTCCAGAGAATGCTGACAGCAGATGTGAGAAGTGGACATGTGTCATCAGATCAGTAGATCAATCCACTGGAGGGGGCTGCAGGTCCCAAGGAAGCTGCTGTGGTGTGGAGGTGACAGGAATGTGTTCCTGTGACTCACAAAGTGGAGTCTTGTCCTAAGGGAGAGCCTGGTTTCTTGGGCTTTGATCTTCTAGGTCTTTTGGTGATGTACATGAATCTACTGTGCTTGATTCTCTAGTTGAGGAGAGCAGATTGTACTTACACCAGCTGAGGATTTATCCCTAAATTATACTGAAGAATAAAATCAAAGGCTGAAAATTTCATGAGCTGGTTGTTACTTGAGCTGTGTTCACTTGCTCCCTACCTTGCAGCTGGCTTCTGTGAGATTTGGGTTTGCCTGGAACCGTTCAGGAGCTGTCTTTAGGTGGCTGCACATTTGCTCTGTCCTGGATGAATTCAACATGTTGCTCTGATCCTCACTGGGGGATGAGGATGATGCAGCACAATCCTTGTGTTCTCCTGCTTGTGGGCTGGAGCTGGTTCAGTCTCTAACCCAGAACTGATGTCCCATGGAAAGGGACAAGAGGGGTAATGAAGCCTTTAGTCAATATGGTGAGACATGGGAATGCCTGGCGGGGCTGGTCCACCTGAGTGATCTCTGAAAATGAGGCATTTTTAGCCTGGCTTTGGGATTAATTTGCCCTGTTACTGTGACATCAACTGGCCAAGGATCTAATTTACATTTTGAATGTTTTATTGAATGCAGCAGGAAGAGAAACTCTCTGCAGTAAACTTGCTGCAGACTTTAAATCCAGTTGCTATACAGTAAATATTTTTCTCCTCTCTTCTAGTTCACCTGCATTTTCAGATCAAGATGCTCTGCAAAGGAATGGTAAGGCTTTTTATTTATTTATTTATTTATTTTTCAGTGGGCTGAATAGCTGGATACTGGCTCTCTTTTAGTGTGACTGTAAAAGATCTTCATTCCCAGATGCTGCTTCTGTTTGCATTAGTGACTCTTCTGTCAAATGTGTTGTTAAAGAGTATTCCTCTTTAAAAAGTACCCTTTAAAGGATTTGCCTGATTAAAATAATCATTTACTGACTGCCTCTGAGATACAGTGAGAATGTGGGAGAAAGAACTATTAATTTCTTTTTAAAATTTTTATTAATTTTTAACCAAACAAAAACAGAGTTAAATGTTTGAAGGATGGAGCTGTGAGAGTGTCCACAAAATGATCTGCCATCTGTGAAACTTCACTCTCCTGGCAAGCAGTCAGGCCGTCAGGTTATTTGTCACAGCTTCCCATCTCTTGCCAGTGCAGGGAAAGAAATTCCCACCCACAGTTACACACTTTTGCTGTGCAATTCAACACACACCCGTTGACAACAGAGTTTGCTGTATGAAGAAAGAAGCAGCTTCCGTTAAGTGTATTTGGCCTGAATAAATATATGTATTTGGGCTGAATCCTGTCATTTTTGGGGACTGGAGTTTCTCCCAGTAAAGGTGGCAAGATGTTAAATAAAAGAAGAGGGACCTTGTTGTAGCTTGACTAAGACAAACTAGAAACTAGGATGTTTTGAAGGCAGTATTTACATCAAGCCAAATATTTTCCAAAACAAAATCAGATATTCTGAAATACACATTTTGTGCAGGGATAATTATTGTTTGCAGAAGAAGATGGAAGTTTATGCTTTTATAAATGATTGGGTGTTTTCTCTGTAGGCTAGTAACATGCTTTCTTCTGCAGGTCGACGTTATGATGGTGGTGTGAAACCAAGATTTGATGAAAATGAAGTAGCTATTACGCAGGTAATGTTCGAAGGAACTGGATCTGTGACATTTTTTCATAGCACATTGAGATATTTATGTTTGCATTATTGAATTAAATAATATATTGTTTACAAGAAATAGCCAACAAAATGGTCTAAATCATTATGGAGTGATACTGATTCACCACGGGCTGTACAAGATATCTTCTGCTTTTCTGAGAAGTGAGGTGAGACTTCAGTTGCCGTTGCTGGTGCTGACTGGCAGTGGGTTTGGGCACAGGGTCTTACTGAAAGAAGCAAATCCTATCATCCATATTCATGCCATTTGGCTGCTGCAGCCAGTGTTTTGCTTGTGTCACTTGGTACTAAATGAATAGCTGAAGCAAAACTGCTGGTTGTTTAATTTCAGTGGGAGTTTTTCCTGTGTTCAGCCTGTAGGTCTTGTAAAAAACTGAGCATAAAAGGCTTCCTTATCAAAAACCCTGCAAAAGATGCAATCTCATATAAATAACCTGTTGATTAAATCTCTCTCATCTGTATTTCTGAGGAGACAGCCTTATCATTTACACAAAGGACAGTCATAGTCCACTTTTCTTGCTGGCTGTTGCATCACGTTTTCTGACCATGATCTTGCCTTACTTGCAGCTTGTTACTGTGAGTACTTACTAATTTTAATCCTAAAGCAATCTTGTGCTGTGTGTAAGGTCAAGTATCAAAAGGGGTCTTTCAGGGTCTGAGCTGGGAGACGTGATTTGCTAATCTAAACAGAAAAAAAAAATCTCTCTTTAAGCCAAGACAAAGCTTTGGAGCTTAACTGTGTCCCTTCTGGAGCTTGGTAAGATGCCCTTTATGATGGGGACTCAAAATACCTCTCTTGTTTGTACACAATTTGAACTTGCTTAGTCATATGACATGCAAAATAGTCATGCAGACATTGTATACGTTATGATATTCAGGTAGGACATATGTGTAGATGGAAAAAAGTTGGTGTCTGGAAATTTCAGTTTGAAATACGGGAATGACAGTTAAAAATTTAACTGAATTGAAGTTCTTTCTGAGCCCTGACTCACTGTCTGAAATTATATTGCCTGACAGCCAAATTGTCCTCCTTTTGCTATGGAATTTGACTTAGAAGGGATAGCATTTTTCTAATGTCTACAGATGACATGGAAGCTGCAGTCTCCATGTTTTAATCTTGTGAACAACTGATTTTGTAAAGGCAGGGATCTGTACTTGAGCCATCCTGTTCTGCAGCAGGCATTCATCCCTTTTAAAGCTGTCAGGAGCCAGACTGTCTGCAGGTGGATGTAGACTTGGACATTTCTTTCACCTAAACAGCTACCTAGTGTGCTTTCAGCATGGTAATCTGTGTTGTTGGCCCAAGCTGAGTCCTCTTTAGTGTGTTGGAGTAATTCTTATGAGTGTCCCAGAGAGCCTTCTGCTGGGGTGAACACCTTGTGGTTCTAGCTTTGATTCAATTTTTTATATTACTCAACTCTATGATGAGATGGGAGCATGCTAAGAATGTGGTTTGCCCCAGTGATACTACCGTAGTAGAATAAATACACCTTATATTGGCTCTCTGTCCAGTTGTGCTGAAGCTAGGGGTCTGTATGGTGCCATTCCCATGGTGGGAAGGGGTTAGTCAGAGATTTCTCTGCTTCCTTAGTTTGATTTCTCTGTTTCCTTACGTCAGTACTGCTTCAGAACTGGCTCCACAGATGCTCTCCAGTGCTGGCCTTATTTATTCTAGTAGGATTGAGAGTTACTCCTGAAATGTTCATCTTCTGAAACTGATCTTTTATGTGGTCAATCAGGTTGTCAGCTACAACTTGAGCAGGGAAGGAGAGTGGGAAAGAGCAACCTGGAGGCCATTCACCCAGAGCCACTACAGCCCTCTCAACGTCACGGTTAATGGCATTCCCTGCATTCTCTTCTGGGCCAAGAGGATCATGATTAAATTTGCAAACCACTCACAGCTGGATTTGACTGAGAAGACATTTGGTGTCCATGCAACGGTGGATGTTGGAGATTCAAACTGCAGTGAAGATAATGCAATGTAAGGTGGCATTCTACTCTGCCAGTGGAACTAGATGACAAGTCTAGTAAATACATACCGGAGGAAAGAGACCTTGTATTATGTGGTGTAGAGCCCCAGGGGCAAGCTCCTTCCTACAATGGCCTGATGTTGCAGGCAGCAGGGCAGCATGGGTTATATACTTTCAGACTAGTCTTTCATCTCTTGCAGTGGTGTAGTCAATCCTTGTGGCCAGACAGTTTTGCTTTTAGTGAGGCTGAAACTGTTGATCTCTTTAGTCTCCAGCTGTTTTTACATAGCTGCTTGCGAGGTTGAATAGGGGATCCTATGCTGAATATGGAGGCTTTGGGGCTGGCCATGCATTACTACTTATCCCTTAGAATCCCAGACTGGTTTGGGTTGGAAGGGACCTTAAAGCTCATCCAGTTCCAACCCCCCTGCCATCAGCAGGGACACCCTTGGGGGCTGCAGAACTGGACACAGTACTCCAGGTGGGACCTTAGGAGAACAAAGTAGAGGGGAAGAATCAAGGTCCTCCAGTCCAACCCCCCTGCAGTGACAGGGACATCTCCAACCAGATCAGGTTGCTCACAGCCCCGTCCAACCTGACCTGGAATGTTTCCAGGGATGGGGCTTCTACCACCTCTCTGACCAACCTGGGCCACTGTCTCACCACCCTCAGTGTAACCAGCTTCTTCCTTCTCTCTGCTCTCAATCTCCCCTCTTGGAGTTTAAAACCTCCCCCTTGTCCTGCTGCTCCTGTCCCCAGGTCCTTCTCCACAGGGCTGCTCTCCATCCCTTCATCCCCCTGGCTCCCTGGCTGCACGAGAGCTTCCTCACCCTACTCTGTCATGGCCCCAGGTCCCTTCCATGCCCAGGTAGACCAGGTTGCTCAAAGCCTCATCCAGCCTGGCCTTGAACACTTCCAGGGAGGGGGCATCCACAGCTTCTCTGGGCAACCTGGGCCAGTGTCTGACCACCCCACAGCAGAGAATTTCTTCCTAATATCTAATCTAAACCTCCCCTCTTTCAGTTTAAAGCCATTTCCCCTTGTTCTATCATTAACTGCCCTTATAGAAAGTCCCTCCCTTCACAGGATGTTTGTCAGCAGTAGTTTAAACCATTGGTACAAGATGCAGATGTGTGTTTAGAAACAGTTACAGGTAGCCCCAAGTCCTCAGGGTGTGATCTGTGAGTTGCTGAAGCTGAAGAGTGAATTCACTACATATTTGCATGTGACCTGAAGAGTTTCTGAAAACCTGAACTCTGCATCCTAGTCTGTCATTAATTCCTTCAGCATGAACAGCACAATGCTTTGCTCCTGCAAAACCTGTGTGAGAGCTATATATTAACCTAACTGGATCTAAAATCCTCCAATCCCATGGCTATACGAGGAAGGCATGTAGGTTTTTTTTGTTTATTTCATTTCTCATGTACCTTACCACTTCTCTCCCTCCGTGTAGTGTGCTGACTGGCTTCATGTCTAATACCAGGCCATTGATTCCACTGTGGTAGGCAAGAGTCTAAAAATTAGGAGGTGGATACCTAACTGGGCATGTGCCAAACATGAGCATTGAGTCTACCACATAAGTGGAGTTTAAATCTTTAATGACACACAACAATAAAAAAAACCATGACCAAACCCAGCAGTTTCATTTAGCTCCTGTACTACATTTCCCCTGTATGTCTAAAGATGTTTCCACAAAAATTTGGTCTTACCTCTTTCAGATTATACATCTGTGAAGGTTAACCCAAGGTGCAGAGAAATGTTAGTGAAGTTACAAGAAAACTAGAAGTATAATTGAAAAAGAAGCTAGGTTTTCTGCCTGTAGTATCAGAGTATTCAACAAGGGAATCTGAATTTCATGTCATCAGCATGTGAACTAATCCAGCACTATGTTTTGACAGGCAGAGGTGGAGAATGGAATAATATTATTTTAAAAATAAAAAGTAATAACATTCCTTCTTCTCTTCTGGTCTGCAATTCAGAAATAATCTTAGTCTTATTAGTAATGATTGTAACCTAATAGAAAATATACTCATGCAAAAGTAAGGATTTCAAAACACCAAGTGTAGTTTTATAGTTGTTTATAAGTTCGTATAGTTTCTGAAAAATCAGAAAGAGAGTGCAGTGGTGGACTGCAAACTCCTTCTGGAGCTGCTGTTTGGAGACTGTTAGATTTGAGCAGACTGTTCTGTCTGCCTGTCTGTCACAGGCAGCCACTACTTCTGTAGTCTGATTACAGTAGTGGATGCTTCATTCTGTAAATACAGAGTTATAATAAATTGGGACTTGTCTTGGCTGTGGCTGGGGGGGAGATAATTCTCTTGTGTTTTGGATTTGTGGCTAAAACAGTGTTGATCACACACCAGTGTTTTGGCTGTTGCTGAGCAGTGCTTGCACAGCATCCAGGCTTTCTCTGTCACTCTGCCCCTGCAGCCAGTAGGTTTTAAGTTGGCAAGAGGCTGGGAGTGGACAATGCCTGAACTGCTGACCCAAGCTGGCTGAAGTTGTGTTTGCTGCCATATAACATCATGCTCAGCAATAAAAACTGGGGTAGAGGAAGAAGAAGTGAGTAGGAGTTGTGTCTTCCAGGGTGGCTGTTGCTCAGAGATTTGCTGTGCATCGATTTGCTCGTGGGAGATGGTCAGTGATTGCCCTTGCAAAACTTTGGTCTCTTATTTTTCCTCTTTCCTTCACGTATTCAACTCTATCTTGACCTATGAGTTCTCTTTCTTTTGCCCTTCCTGTTCTCTCCTCTGTCCTGCTGTGGGGTGGAGGGAGCAGAGTGAGTGAGCAGCTGCGTGGGTCTTAGCTGCTGGGCAGGGTTGTATATCCTGCTTGATGCATTGTGTTGGAAGATGGTTGGGAATTTATAGAACACATGATTCATTAAAAAAGCTGTGGGAAGAGTCAGGAAGCAGAACTACTCTACAGCATACCCTTGACATATCTTTTTATCAATGCTTCACCATAACTGAGGTTTGATCTCAAAATCTGTGGGTCTAATGCCATCTTATCTGCCATGTCTTCTGATCTGTCTCTTTATTTCTCCCATAGTTTTCAGAGTAGCCTCAAAATAGGGACACGGCTGCTAAAGGCAGGCAGGACCTTGATGCTTAGTTTGAAGTTGAAGCTAGCATGTTTTTGCTGGGGTCAAGAGATATACTGTGACTACTGAGCCTTTTCTCCTCCGTTCTGTGGAGAGAGAGGGGGAAGTGCTGCCCCTTCCTGAGTGTTATGCTTTCTTGCACGTTCTGTACTTTGCTTATTTGGGATGCACTGCACAATACTAGTCCCACTGACTCCTGCCCTTTGAATGTGCCTAACCAAGAAAAACCTGAATTATTCTGAGCTCTCGCTAGGAGGGATTTGTCAGGACATTTGACAGATTGCATGAACAGATCTGTGGCATCTCTGCTAGATTCCAAGTATCAAGTCATTAGAAACTGTATTTTTCAAGTATCCATTCATTCATTGCCACTGATAGCATCTAAGTACTGATCGAGTCCTTGCATGTAGAAATCAGGCTGTATGGATAAGAAAGCGGATTATCTGGGCTCGTGAGTCAGGGTTAGACTCAGTGTAATTGCCAGATACAAGTCTTGGGTTAGATTTTCAGTCAACCTGCATTTGGCTGTAGTAGAAAAGAAAGGAAAAAACTGGCTTGGATGTTGCTCTGTAATCTCAGGTTTAAGGACTGACCTAAATTATCCCAGTTGGTGGCTGAGTGCTTACATGATGCATTGCCCAGTTTTTCTCATCCCAGAAAAGTCCCTTAAACTTCTCCCTTCTCCAACCTTCTTTGTTAAAACAATAATCTGTTGTGGCTTTAGTCCAGCTTTCAAGCTGGTTTATACTGTCTCATCAAGGCAAAGTAGCTGGAGCCAGGGAAAAAATAGGCAAAAAGACACTGAACACATGCATTTGCTAGACAAATATAATAATCCAACCTATAGGAGGATTTTTTTTATGCACTAGCTTCTGGATCAGGCCCATGAGAAGTAGTCCAGATCTCATATCAAATCATAGGGCTATCTGGGTTTTAAAATATATTTTATTCAGCTTTAGGTTCATAAGTCTTTCAGATGCTGCATGGTTTCACTATGTTTTGTCTCTAACTTAGTCTGAAAATATTATGTCAACATTGAGAATCTATTATGCAGGTTTTAAGAGGCAAAATATTATTGTTAAGCCAAAAAAAGTATGCCACTCAATCATGCAGCGCTACAATGCATTAATTCCAGAGATGGTAGAAGGATGGTAGAGTATGCATTAGTTTACAATTAACCTGCTCTTTCACTTTAGTATTCAGGTTCCCATGCTCACTGCAGATAAGTTTTGTAGAGCTGCTTCACAGTCAGTGTATTTATGTTATTCTAATGATGCACATGTGTGAAATTTGAACTCAAACGTCATCTGTGTTTGTTATGCTCTAATATCTAAAAAATGAGAGTAATGTGGCAGTTTGCCCTTTCTAATGACATATAGAAGTGATTCATGACTGAGATGTCATGGCTTGAGAAGGAGAACACAGATAAAATTAACCTCATTGTCAACCCATGTTGGAAGCAGTGGGATTGAAGTATGTTGAAAGTTGAGCATGCAGTTTTTTTTCTTTCTGGATAGTCTAGACCTCCTTCCAATTAACAGCTGAACTACTGGATTTCACTGGAGGATAATTTAATCATTCCAGTTTCTTTTTTCTACTGACTTCAAAGGTGTACTGAGCAAAAGGCTCCATGTATAACTGTGCTTAATCTTTTGTGTTGCTTTTTTCACTTTAAGATTTCTGAAGTTTTTACCTAGCCTGATGTTACTTGCTTTTTGGCCTAGGCTTTCTCTGAAGTTTGGTGACATCGGCAATCTAAAGGGACTTGTTATTAGGTAAGTTTATATGATAAAGAAAATATTAGATGTTTAAAGAAAAGATAAAGATGATAAAGAAAATAGTGCATGTTAATACCCATTGTTATGCAGTTGATTGTGCAGTTTGTTTTGGGAAAATTTATATAAGCAAAAATAATGTAGAACTGTTTATTGTATAATCAAGACACCTGCATTTAATAGGTCTGTTGTTTTACAGACAAGGTCTGTCTTGTTTTATTAAGGCATTTCTTCTTCGATGTTGACTTTTCTATTAATGAGAAAAGTTTGGGTCATCTCTCTTGAATAGAATCTTCCTGTGCCTGAGATTTTTGCTAAACCTTGCTAATTAGCCACATTTTTGTGTGGTAATTTTTCCACAAGAACTGGTAGTGTGGGCAGCTCAGGCATCAGACTGACACCTACTTCATGTTTGCTTCTTGGAAATCATAAAAAACAACACTTCTTGATAAATAGTTTTCCGTGTCTTGGATGGAAGTACGATTCCAATGTTGCATATAGACTTTTCTCATTAATTTAGAAAATATCCCTTGCATTTCTTCTCACTGTGTGGGAAAGGAGCAACATCCTCCAGCTGCAGCAGTGAAGAAACTCAAATAACTTTGCAGACTCAGTAGAAGGAGATAGAGCTCCCACTGATATAAATGGGTAAAACTCTGATAGTACCAATGTGTCTTGTTCAACGTGTGCATTTATTAGTTACAACTCTTAGTTAGACTTGGTTTCTTACCCATCCTTCTTCCCATACAATATTTTCAGATTGTTATTAACAACCACCTATTACCAGCTGTCTGTTCGGAACTGGTTCAGTTTACACAGACTGCAACTTCTTTACAACCACTCCATACAAGCGACGTTTAATGCAACCAGAATATACGCACCGTCAAGTTACTCCTACCACTGTGAACATGTGAGCAGCTTGCAGAGATATGATGCACTCCTCATACCCAGCTCTGCAAATGATCTTTCAAAGCTTTGGGAAGTCACTTTTATTGATTTCCAGGTAATGTCATGGAATTAAGCTGAATGGATCCCGTAGGTAGACTGATGGGAAATTTTGTGCTTCACTGCCAAGAAAGTGCAGTAATCTTCCATGTACAGTTTACAGGATCTCCATGTAACTTGAAATAGAAATGAAGACTTAAATTATTATACTTATCTTCCTGTCAAAGGCACTGAAAGATATACAGAAAGATATATAGAAAATCCATATGGATTTTCTGTAGTCTCTTGATTAGGTTTCCCTTTAGCTTGGGGAGTGAATTTAACTTTCAGTGTTATGTCTCTCTGAGCTGGGCTCTTAAACTTGGCGTCAATAACAGCATCAGTCACCAAGTATGGGATTTATCTCACTTAACTTTTGATGCCTAGTGATTTTAACCTTGCACCATGACTATAATCACTCCAGCCTGCCTGTAAAGCCAGTGGATAATTCCCCTGACTCATTTTATAAGTCCTTATTTTAGGATGAGATTAATAATCTTCTGCAAGTGCCTATTTTTTCTGTGTTTGCCAATGAGGGAGCACAAGATAACTGGGCTAGGATTTCTTGCTTTTAGATACCAAAGTCATAGGACATGAATAGCTGAAAAAGGGGATTAAGGGGGAAAGCTGATCCCCCTTTTTTCACCATATGATAAATGCTTATGGACCGATTTAGTGGAGCAGACAGTCAATTCCCTGAATACCAGTGTGGTAATCTTCATGTTAGAAATGAAGCCACAAGTAAGAATTACTGGTATTGGCCATGGTTGAACACAACTTCATGTAGTCTAGCTGATTTGCTGCCACATACTTGGATCTGGTGAGAAAAATCTGATATTAGGGTAGGCAATTGAGAAAATTTCCTTTATTGTCATGTTGAAGTTTATGCAGTTTGAAACAGAGACTCTGGAGATGCTCAACAAATGATGCTGGAAAGGCATCGTTAACTTGACAGGTACCACACTTATATTTAAATATTACTGGGCTATCAAGAGTGATCATAGAAGATTTTGTTTAAAGCACCACTACAAATCCTTTGGGCAGCAGAGTCAAGAGGATTAGGTGGTTTCTAGAAGACTGACCTGGATAAACTCTGAGCATTAACTGCAGCTGGCACTGGTAGATAGAATTTTGCCATAAGCATATATTAAATTAAAAATTCTTACTGGCATCAGGAGCAAATTCATGAAGTTGTTTGTAAACAAGACAGCAAATACTTTATTTAATATGAGCCCTTTTGTTCTCTTTGTAGATTCAAGGTTTTAACATTCAAGAAGGACATTTTGCCTATGCAAAAGACTGTGCATCCTTCTTCTCTCCAGCAATACTTATGGGATTGGTTATGTCGCTGATTCTGCTGCTGGTTCTTGCCTATGCTCTTCATATGTTGATCCACCTGAAATCTCTTGACAGACACTATGAATGCAAAGCTTCTCCTACCTATTTTGCACAGGTGAAAGACAATGACATAGGTGATGAGAAAGAGCCACTAAGAAGCAATGGGAATGAGTCCTATGAACTTAGAAACCAGCAGTTCTGTAAAATCTATATTTAGCAGTATGCCTCTGTCTGAGTGAAACAAGGGCTATTGTATTCTGCTGGCACTGCCTGTAGTTTGTGCAGATATTTCACTAACTGATGAAGGGAAAAGTAGGTAACAGACCTTTTTGCCAGTTACCGCCTGTTATTTACTGATAACCATCTCAAAGATGCCTTGGGAAACAAGAGGAGAGAAAACAATTCCATTGTGAGTAAGAAATTTCATGTGATGGGAGTTTATTCCTCTAGTATAAAACCAAAATGCATATCTTTTCAGCCAGCTTACCAAGTCCTGAAGAGGGAATCAGTATTGGAGCCTTTGAAATTAAATAAAGATACAAAAAATTGCAAAACAAATAAATAAAGAAATCTCTTTTCTTATTCTTTCAGAAGGCGAGATTTTTCCTGATTTTATGTTTACTTCACCCACTGCTCCGTGTCCTGACAAAATAGCATCCATTCCTTTCTCAGTATATGTTTTCCTTTTATTTTCCAAATTACATCCTCTCCTCTTTGTCCTCATAAACTCCTTTTCTTCCTTTGGAGTTTTCAGCGCCATATAAGCTGTGTATTATCCACTACACTGATGAAATAGTGATGGCTCCGGTACAGCAGCATCTTGATACTTCTCTCTGTCTAAGCTGGAAGCTTACTGTAAGGATCTAGCGGGAGAACAGCAGACATCTGGTCAAAGGCTTACCCTTAACTTCCCGGCTCAACTGCACGCCAGAAGACAGATTAGGAGCATTATACATTGTAATTCCAGTTTAACTTCTTTTCTGTCAAATCCCATCAGTCTCCCTTGGGAATTTTACCTGGAAGGACACAGCCAGTGTTATAATTGAAAAAGTATATAAACAAAGTGGTGTAAGCTCCCCAGCAGTGGAAAGGATACTGTGATATAATTTTCACTCCTCCTTCTGAGTGTTTGGGATACTGTCTTCCCACTCATCCTTTCTTCTGTTAGAGTCAAAGTTTGGAAACTCCAAATTAGCCTGTAATTTGGCCCTGACTTCTAGCAAGGAAGAATGCAGTAATGTACTAGCTGTAGTACTTTCAGGTCACAGGTAATACAAGACCCAGCATGTTAGAAAATCTGCAAAACCAGAGTTACTAAACAAATGCCTTTTTATCTTAGATAATAGATCTAATCAGTTTTTTGCGGGCTCTGTAAACTATAGCAGAGTGCTCTTTAAACACCTTGAGAGATATCCAGTGAGCTCCTGTTTATTAGCACAGATGACACATAGACTAGTCCAAAGCAGTTAGTTGATTTAGGAAGGTACTTCAGAGGAGAAAAATAAAACATCTTTGAACTGTAACCAGACATAAAAGACAAGCTTCTGGGGACTTGGCCAGAATGTCTGTGGCCAGTTAGTGCCAAGCTTTATCTATTTCATAAAGGAAGCAAGCAAAAACGTGACTGTCTGGGAAGCTGAGAAGTTGCAAATAAAAATAACAGTATTCTACATGGAGCGGCAAAACACCATCTTTGTCCCCCCTGCTTACATACAAATCATAGAACCACAGAATCACAGACTGGTTTGGGTTGGAAGGGACCTTAAAGCTCATCCAGTTCCAACCCCGCTGCCAGCAGCAGGGACACCTTCCACTAGACCAGGTTGCTCAAAGCCTCATCCAACCTGGCCTTGAACACTTCCAGGGAAGAGCAGCCACAGCTTCTCTGGGCAACCTGGGACACTGTCTGACCACCCTCAGACCAAAGAATTTCTTCCTAATATCTAATCTAAATTTATAACCATTGCCCCTTGTTCTGTCATTCCCTGCCCTTGTCCGAAGTCCCTCCCCAGCCTTCCTGGAGCCCCTTCAGGTACTGGAAGGCTGCTAGAAGCTCTCCTTGGAGCCTTCTCTTCTCCAGATATGGACTGATGTCAACTTTAGGAGTTCAGGATGCCAGTGCTAAAGAGGTGATGTTCCTCAGTGTCTGGAGAGCAGTGCTGTTGTGCCTGGGCTTTGCTTGCCTGCCAGGCAATAAAACCTGACAGTAATCAGTGGTAGCCTGACTGTCAAAATTACCAACATTCACTGATATAAAATACACACTCCATGGAGCTGGCATGGTGGCTTTGAGCATGGCAGTGCTCTCTACACCTCATGACCTCTGAGGCACAAGTGGACTAGTTCATCCCGCACAGCTCATTTAATCTACTGGTTAACATCTAATGATGCTGTCATCATAATTATTACCTATAATTTCTTCTAAATTTTAAATAGGCAATGTTGTCATTGTCACTGTAAGAGGTTCTTATGAGACTGATAAATCAGGAATAAGGGAACTTCCCTCTAATCATGTCCCGCACTCCTTGTGTCCTTCTAAACCTCCTTCCCTAGCTGTTTTCCAACCCACATATGTTCCTTTCACCTTATCTTGGTTTTGAGAGAGGTGATACCTTCTGGCTAGAGAGTCAGCACTGCAAACGTCCTGTGAAGAATTTTTGGTGCAGAATTAAAAGATAAGTTAGGAATGGATTTGAACAAGAAAGGTTATTCTATGCCCTCTATTTACAAGGCAAACTTCACGAGAAAAAGAGAATGCAGATAAAAATTTAAAAAAAGGTAAAGAAAAATAAAATTCCTGTACGTTTCTCAGCTTTCTCTAACTGGTATTGTACCAAGGGTCTCTTGGGTGGAGGAGTACCTCCACCATGGGTTATATTTTCTCTGCTAGGACTTGTCATGTTGCAGTCCTGCCTGGCAGTGGCAGATGATTTTGTTCTGTAGGGTATGGTCAGTGTCATCACATGTCTACTCAGGTGCCAGCAAGAGTTATAAAGAGTTGATCCTGCTCTGGCAGGGGATTGGACTAGATGATCTTTTCGAGGTCCCTTCCAATCCCTGACATTCTGTGATTCTGTGGAAGGATAAATGCACTAATTGAGTTAGACAGGACATACCACATTCAGTCGTAGGACTGGAATTATGAGCCATATACTTGTGAGGAGTTAACAATGCTTTAGTGGAAAAACAGCACCAGAATTAAAAATCATTATCATTGCAGTTTCTTTCTCCTGGTGCCATATATAAAAACAAGCACCCATGGTTGAAAAAGACAAAATGTAGATTTTTGCATTCCCAGTAGGGTGTATTTTCTGTGAGCCAAGCAATCCTCATCGAATGCACATTTTGGAACAACAGAGACATTCCATTGCTCTGGTTCTGAAACAAAGAAAATTCAAGTTAAAATTAATTGCTTGCTACAAAAATAAGCTACATTGGCACTAATGGACCAATTAATAAAAGATAAGCTTTTTTACATGATCCACATTCTGCATAATTTCTTTGCTGCACCAGAACACAGCAGCCTTTTCAACATACATACATTCCTTCAAACAAGAGCTTTATAGCATCTTTTCAAAACTGTTGTGTTGTTTCAAATTCAGGGTGCCACTGACTCTTAAAAACAAGGGGAAGACTTTCATTTCCTTTAACTGAAAGAGGATAAATTTCACAGACTATGCAGCTCTCACTGTGCAATAGTAACACTGAATTGAACAAATAAATACATTTGTTTCTCATACATTTTAACTGTCGTAATTAAAAATTTATGTAATTGCCCCTTGCCCCAATATTAGGCAGTTTCACACCTGTAGAAAACTGGGATTTCAGACAGAACATTAAATATGGTTTGAACTGGAGTGGTGAACTGTTGGCATAGTATTGGTTACAAATGCACAAGGAATAATTAAAGCCAAGGTCACTGAGAAGACAGGGAGAAAAACTATGAGTCCACTGGTTGTTAAGTAGCACTGAATTCCAGCAAACCAGAAGAAATAGGTTTATTTATTTCCTTCAGGTTTTTAAAATGATAGCATTTCCCTTCTCTCATTTAAACACTGATTGTTGCTGTAACAGCACTGGTATTTCTGGCAGATTTATTTATTTATTTATTTATTAACTGGGAGACTTTCAAAGAGCTGGATGCAACCTTCAGTTTCTGCAACTGAAAGAAGTCCTGGTAGGGAAAATGTTAGCCTGGTACAAAGGGAAAAATCAGCACTTCAATCCTGAAAAGCTGTATTTAAACATGAGTAACAAAGAACCGTATCCTTCGCTGCTGTTGCTTCTTACTTATATGCACAGAAGATGGAGCTGCTACATCTGACAGGCTGGCAAAAATGTGGTGATCACCTTTATAAGGATTGTCTCACATGGGAGAGTCTTTACTCAGAATCAGCCTGAGGAGACCCTCCCATACTCAACACCAGGGCTTTGAGCTGGCATTCAGATTACTCTTACTGGTTCTCTGCATTATCTCTTCTCTTAGTAACTCGAGTAGTAGCAAATCAGTCTTCAGTTCTCTCCATGACTTCCGTAGTCCATCGAACCCTCTGATGTTTGCATTTTTCAGGATGAGTCTGTTCTTCACCATTACTTTAATACCTCTTCAGGTTTTCTCCATTTCCAGTCAACTGTGTAACGTGGCATTTAACTGATGCCTGATTGATCTTAAATCCGATTCAGAGGTTCCTAGCTCACACCTTAATTTGTTTGCTCTAACATTACAGGCCATATTTGGTGTCACAGAACAAAGATGCAAAACTACCTTCAGATCTATGCAAACCCTTTTAAAAGCCAGTCTTTTAATATGAATCATATTAATTGTAAGAAACTTCTAATTAAAATTCAGAATTTGCCCCAGCTGAAGGGGCAGGTCAAGAGCTGCCACTTAAATGTAGCCATACTGGTTGGGATGTCAACCCAACTGTGTGGTCTTCTAAGCTTGGTTTACTCGCTGTAAGAGAGTCAACAGAAGTGAACACGCACTGAACAACCAGTTTGGGATTCCTCATCAAGTCAGCAGGCGCACCGTCTGAGAGGACTCTCTTCCTGCCCTGGACCACTGCTGCTCTCTGTCCTTCTGTGCAGGTAAAACCTCATCCTGGAGTAGTTCTAAAATTAACACAAAGCATTTTATTCAGGAAGAATTTCCATCTCCTAAAGGAGTGTGAACCAAATAACCTGCCTAAGGGATCTTGAACTTTACAGTAACAGTATGTACTGCAAATAATTCCAATAAAAGTGATTTTCTGTGTGTGTAACATTTCCACAGGTAATACTGATGTATTTGCAGCTGCTTCTGAACAGGAAGGCAGCAGCAGAAAGGAGGGGAGAGCAGCTATGCCTGTAATTAGCTTTTCTGGAAAGCTGGCTGTCAGCACAGGTTTTGGGCTCTGCTGAAAGCTCTGTTTTTCATGGCGAATGGTTCTTGGCCTCCATGGAACTTACAACAAAAGCTGAGAAATAATGTTCCTGTGGTAGAGTTTTAGATACGGTCTTAACCTCAGAGAACAGTCTGTTAACATCAAGCCATTCATGAGATAAG